TTTTTTGAGACAAAGTCTTGCTCTGTCACCCAGGCTGGAGTGCAGTGGTGCGATCTTGGCTCACTGCAACCTCCGTCTCCTGGGTTCAAGCAATTCTCCTCCCTCAGCCTCCCAAGTAGCTGGGATTACAGGCATGCACTACCATGCCTGGCTAATTTTTGTATTCTTAGTAGAGACGAGGTTTCACCATGTTGGCCAGGCTGCTCTCGAACTGTTGACCTCTTGATCCACCCACCTTGGCCTCCCAAAGTCCTGGGATTACAGGCGTGAGCCTCTGTACCTGGCCCACCATTCCAGTTTTTCAAGTCTGAACCTTGTTGATGGCCACTTAGGTTGTTTCCATTTTTTCATAATAACACAAAAACTGTTCTTATTTATGTGCCTTTGTACCCATCTGTGAGAATGTCTCAAGAGTACAGCTGCTGAGTCATAGTGTATGTATATCTTCAGCTATAATAGATATCGGCAAAAATGCTTTCCAAAATTGTTGAACCAACTTACACTGCTATAAGCAGCCTGTGAGGGGGTCCACTGCTCCAGATTCTCACCAATGTTTTGTATGGTTGGATTTCTTTTTAATGTTTATTGGTTGAATGGGTGTGTAATACTCTAAATAACTTTTTAAAATAAGTTTTCCAAATGATTTAGAAATACATACACTTATATTTGCAAAGAGAAAGACAGGTTCATTCCCCTTCTCTGCTCACACAGAGCTGTGGTTCTGGAACCCTAGAGTTCTTTATCTAAGCAGGGCCTGGGGATGTGCCTGACTGCATGCAGATGTCAGAAGACCCTGAGGAATGTTGCCTCAGTGCCTCCTACGCACAGCTAGAGCAGTTATCTCAAGTACTTAGAGGTTATGTTATCTTCTCCCCAGCTAGGACATGGGCTGCTGGACAGCAGAGACAAATTCTATGCACAGTTTTGTATCCTTAGGGCCCAGCCCACGGAGGAAGCTCGGTGAGTATTCATGGATGTAGGGAAGGAAGGGAAAGTGGGAATGACAACTTATATTCTGTTTTGTCTGCATCAGAGCTTAGAGCATCTGGAGATACATAAAGTTTGTTTATTTAAAAATGTAAACCACACACATATTCTTTTCTATTAACTGTTAGGGATTGAATAATATTCTTTCATATAAATAATTATCAACTTGGCCTAATGAATGACATATCTATAAAGTCTTTTACGCCAACTGACCCTGCCATGACTGGCATAGTAACCTCTGTGACCTGCACGTACACCCAGATGAGTTCCTGGAAGAAATGATCAACCGCTGTGGCACCTAACTAACTCTAGACATTCTTCTAATGTTTCTTATTCCAGCCTCAATTGACAAGGTCATTGGGCTTTGCAACCAACCTTGGTCAACCTGTGACTCCAGACCCTATGACCCCCTCCCAGCTTGCAAACCTACAACCCCCTCCCAGCTTACAAAAAAACACCCTAAACTGTAACTTCTGTAACTTTCCACTGCTTACCCCAAACCTGTAAAACCAACTCCTATTCCTCCACCCTCCACTGACTCTCTTTTCAGACTCATCCCACCCGCACCCAGGTGAATAAACAGCCATGATGCTCACACAAAGCCTGTTTGTGGGGGGGGGTCTCTTCATTCAGAGTGCACGTTTTAACATTTGGTCCCCAAAACCTGGGAAAGAGATACTCCTTTGGGGAGACCAGCCCCCTGTCCCTGCTCTTCCTCTGTGAAGAGACCTACTTATGACCTAGGCTCATCAGGCCAGCCCAGGCATCTGCTCACCACCCTCAGATCAGGTAAGTGGTTCGCCTCAACTCTCTTCTTTAGCCCTTCTCGCTACCTGTCAGCCTGCTTCTCCTATCAGTTTCATTTTCCTCTCCCTTTTAGTGGAGACAAGAAAGACAGGACTTTCCGTGAGGTTCATGACTAGAAAAAATCCTACATAGGTCATGGAACCAGGAAGATTGTCTTCCCTCTGTGACTGATCATTGCAGAGATGTCTGCTCTGGTCACTTGCTTGCACTCATAGGTGATGGATGAACGTGGGGGATGCCCCCTTTGACTGATTCACCCCAGGTTCAGACCAAGATTTAGTCTGGGACACCTGCTAAGCTGCTTGATCGTGCATTCACTTTCCCTGTCTCCACTGCTCTTCTTAAACTATGGGCAATCTCCCGCCCTTCCTTTCTCCCTCCTCTCCCTTAGCCTGTGTTCTGAAAAATTTCAGACCCCTCCAGCTATCACCTGACCTAAAACTTAAACATCTTATTTTTTTCTGCAATACAATTTGGCCACAATATAAATCGGACAATGGCTCTAAATGGCCAGAGAATGGTACCTTCGATTTTTCTAACCTGCAGGATCTAGACAACTTTTGTTGTAAAAGGGGCAAGTGATCTGAAATTACCTATGTCCACGCATTTTTTAAACACTCCATTGTTCTCAATGCAACCTGTCCCAAATTTTCCTTCTCTCCCTTAGGTCTGCCCCTCCTGCCTCTGCCAGTGACCCAGAATCCTCCTTCCGGCCTTTCTCCCTCTACCTGTCCAAACCAGACATTAATCCAGGCCCTAGCCACCCCTTACAGGGCCTCCGTCCTCTTCCTCTGCCCACAACCCACCTCCTGATGCTCCTCCTGCTACCTCCCCATCTCATACCCAATCCAGCTTATAGCTAAGTCCCGAGGATAACTCCTCCGCCCCTGCCTAACAATTCCGCTCTTCGAGGGGTGGCTGGAGCTGAAGGCATAGTCAGGGTGCATGTTACTTTCTCTTCGTCCAACCTTTCCCAAATCGGCCAAAGCTTAGGCTCCTTTTCATCAGATCCTACAAAATATATACAAGAGTTCTGATACTTAACCCAGTCCTATAATCCCACCTGGGGTGACTTAAATGTCATCCTTACTTCTACTCTCACCCCTGAAGAACGCTTAATATGCATTTTATCACCCAGTTAGCCTCTGACATTAAAAAAGCAACAAAAATTAGAATCTGGCCCTCAACCCCCACAACAGGAATTAATCAACCTCAACTTCAAGGTGTTCAATAATAGGGAAGAAGCCGCCCGGCGGCAGGGCATCTCAGAACTACAGATGCTGCCTCTTCTGAAAGACAAACCCCAGCCACACCCCCGGCTCACAGACTTCAAAGTCCCCAGACTGCAGTGCCCGGTCGCCCCTCTTGGACCTTGCTTCAAGTGTCGGAAAGCTGGCCATGGGGCCAAGGAATGCCTGAGGCCAGGGATTCCTACTAAGCCCTGCCCCATCTGTGTGGGGTCCCCACTGAAAGTCGGACTGTCTGACTCACGCTGCTGCTCCTTGGCTTGGTGACTGAAGACTGACGCTGCCCGAACATCTCGGAGGCCCCCTGGACCATCACGGACACTGAGCTTCGGGTAACTCTTACAGTGGAGGGTAAGTCCACCCCCTTCTTAGTCAACACGGAGGCCACCCACTCCACGCTGCCTTCTTTTCATCCTTGGCCTCCATAACTGTTGTGGGAACTGAGGGCAAGGCCTCCAGCCTCTCAAAACTCCCCAGGTCTGGTGTCAATTAGGCCAGCACTCCTTCCCATACTCTTTCCTAATCCCTGCTTGTCCATTTCTCCTGTTAGGCTGACATATCCTAGCAAAATTATCTGCCTCCTTAACTATTCCTGGGCTACGGCCACACCTCACTGCTACCCTCCTCCCCGAACCCACACCTCCCTCAATAGCTCCCTTTATGTCCCCCTACCTTAACCCTTGGGTGCGGGACACCACCTCCCCATCCCTTACAACATCATCCCCTGAAAACCTAAGCACTCGTACCCCGGCCAGCACCAGCACCCCAGCCCACAACAGGCTTTAAAAGGCCTAAGCCTGTTATCACCCATCTATTACAACACGGCCTTTTAATTCACCCTCCTGCTTCTTCAGCATCTATACTCAAGGGAGTATCATATATCCCCTTTCAAAGCTCAAATTTCTTGCCCATCCATCACCTATCTTGGCATAATCCCTGGCCCTCTCCCTGCTGACTGTATCCAGTTAATTTCCCAAACTCTAACCCATTAAACAATAGCTTCTTTCCTTCCCCCATTCTTCCTTCTATTCTTTAAAAAAGGCTTTAGAGACTGGTCCTACTTTAGCGCTCTCCAACTCCTCTCAACCCTTCTCTTTCTACGCAGCAGAAATAAAAGGCCGTGCCCTCAGAATCCTTCCTCCCTCCCTCCCTCCTTCCTTCCCTCCCTCCTTCCCTCCTTCCTTCCTTCCTTCCTTCCCTCCCTCCTTCCTTCCCTTCCTTCCTTCCCTCCTTCCTTCCTTCCTTCTTTCCTTCCCTCCTTCCCTCTTTCCCTCCTTCCTTCCTTCCTTCCCTCCCTCCCTCCTTC